TTTGTGCGGGGAGAAGGGTGCAACAATGAATGAATGGAATCCCAAAATCTCTGTAGATGTTCATTGAAATGAAAAATAAACAACCTAAATTAAAGCAAAAAAAACATAGCCAGATACCCTGAGGGGAGGAATTGCTGATCCTGTGGCCTCAAGACCACAAACTTTGGGAACGTAAAAAGTCAGTAGTCAAAAGGTAGTCCATAAAATAATGGTTTACATCCTCCTTTGGTGTGAGTAGTGTCAAGATTTTTAAAAGCTTGAGAATGGTCACCAAGGTGACCAGGTGGCCTCTCCCTGTCCTGAATAAAGTTAGGACACTGTTCTGATGGGTTGTACTCAATGCAACAACACCTAACAATGACAAAAACCATGAATTAGAATGACTTGGCTTATTAAAACCAGTTATTGATACTTTTACAGAATTCCTGGTTCTGTCTATGTGCATAGGTCTGAGAATTGAACGATGTTCTCAGGTGCTGTACTGTTGATGGTTGTGAAATCACATTTTGAGATTTCTGGTTCTAAATCTATTGTGATTTTTGATGTGTGAATTGAGCTGCATGTTAAGGAATCTTGATTCCCTTTGATGATTGTTGTTATGTGACATTAAACTGGAACCAACTCATAGCTGACCCTCCAGCAAGTTTTCAGAGGCTGTAAGTTACACAGGTGGAGATTGACTCTCTTTCTTCCTTGGAGCAGCTGGTGGATTCAAACTTCTTTCCTTTCGCTTGGCAGTGCAACTGCTTGTCCACTAGGCCAACAGAACACCCTTTCCCTTTAGTAGGGAATCAAGTTGTAATTTTGTTCTTTGTCTTCTGAGTAGACATTCAAGTTATTCTTGATGTGCTTTTAAAAATGACTATTTAGAAGTTGTGATTTGTTTAGTAATTTATATCTTAATGTTACAGGGATCAAATGTCTTTCCTTCTTTGGTCAAAAGTTGGAAGTTTCCTGGCTGTTGGCACTGTTAAAGGGAATTTGCTTATTTATAATCGTCAGACATCTCGGAAGATTCCGGTGCTTGGTAAGTTAGAGCTGAAAACATTGCTTATATGTTCTTTACATACTCTTTTTACTTCCTCCACTTCCCCTATGTATTAGAAAACTATAGTACAAAAAATATTGTACTTAGGGGGTGTAGGGAGGAAAATGTGCAACAATGAATGAATGGAAATCCAAGTATTCTATAAACTTTAATTAAGATCATACAAAAAATTGTTTGTTGTTGTTATTAAGTGGCATCAAGTCAAGCACAACTCACAGCAACCCTGTGAACAAATTATCTGAAACCCTGTTCTATACCTATTGTCATTTCTCTAAGTTCATAGAATTTCCCGAGGCATGTTGTTTAGGAAGTGGATGTCACTCCTGCTTCTAAGCCTGTCTTAATCTGGGAGCTCCATCAAACACTGTCCACTGTGGGTAACCATTATGGCATTTGACACCACAGTGGCATAGCATTCAGCATCACAACAACCCTAGGTTACCTCAGTACAGCAAATTGACAGACCAGTGACGTACCACTGAGACGAATGTTCATTCCAAACATAACACCAAGCCTGAAAACCCAGCTGACTTTTAAATACACAGGCCCACCCACCAGGTCCTGATCAGCTAGCTCTAAACAAGAGGCTTCTATCCCATAGCTCATTGTTAGCCAAATCCAACAAATCCAATCAGCTCACACATGGTTGTGAACAAAAGAAAAACAACCAGTCCACACTCGACCCTCAGCCAAAACAAGAGGAACCCACCTTCTAGAATCCAACTGCTTCACACATGAACCTCCAATAAAAAAATTGTAAAACTAATAAGAAATTATAAAAAAAAAATGTTGCATTTAGAAAGATCATCCCAGCCCAGTCTTATTTCTATCTAAATGAGAAAGTCTCTTGTTTACTGATTACAAAGAATTTCCGTGGAGACATAGAGTAGGTTGCATCTATGTCCCTGTAGCCCCAGTACATAACCTATCCCTTTCTTGTACCCCTGACGTGGAGTAGTGCATGTGAATTTCAGCACAATGTTATTGTTAGGTGTCATCTAGTCAACAGCATGTGCCTTACTGGGTCATGGGCAAAATCTCCTGTTTTTTTCAGTCTCTTAATATTCCCTTCACTTGGTGAAATACCATCTCTATGTGACAATTCCAAACTGCCTGTTTCCAGACCAGACTTCTCTTCTGCACTCTGGTCCCTTACAGTCAGCAGTTCACACAACATCTCCAATCACATGTCTAGTGGACATTTCAAGTTAAAATGTCCAAAACTCTACTTTCCTACAGTTTTCCTTTTTTCAGTAAACAACATTTCATCTTTCCAGATTCACACCAAATATCAGCAACACCTTTGACTCCTCTCTGTTTCATACTCTATCTCATATGTCTGAGAGTCTTGTTAGCTCTGCCTTCACATATCTCCAGAATCCCGTCTCTGCACACCACGTGTACTGCTCCCACCACAGTCTGCTCCTCAGATCTCTCCCACTTGAGTTCTAAAAATCTCCTTGTAACTGATCTCTGTGCTTCTCAACAAGATCGGACGAGTCTTTTGAAAAGGGAGATCATAATGTTCTGCTTAGAACTCTCCCAATGGCTCTTTAACTCACAGTCTTCTTGATGGCCAACCAAGTTTTCAGAATTCTAAACCTTGTGTTCTCTCTGACCTCATGGCATGCTCTTGTCTCCGCTTTTCCTTTGCTCTTGTTGTGTCCTCTTTGCTTATCCTTTAATAAACCAGTCAGTCTCCTGCCTTAGAAGCTATTTACTTAAACTTACTTTCTGCTGTGTGCATAGGCACAGTATTACGTCCTATAAGGATTTAAAAAATTTACTGTGGTCTCTGCCCCTATTCGTTAGATAGAAAAAAGAGTCAAGAGAGAGAGGGGAAGAAACAGTTGGAACAGTACATAGATAGTGAATTACCAAAAGTTCAAGTGGAATTTAGAAGAGGCCATGGCACCCAGGGCTGTCATTGCTGATGTCAAATGGATCCTGGCTGAAAGTAAGGAATACCAGAAGAATGTTTATTTGTGCTTTATTAACTATGCAAAGGCATTTGATTCTGTGGATCATAAGGAGTTGTGGCTGACATTGAGAAGAATGGGAATCACTTGATTGTGCTCATGAGGAATCTATACCTGGATCAGGAGGCTGTTGTGGAACAGCAGGGGAGCATTGCATAGTTTTTATTTGGGAAGGGAATGTGTCAAGGATGTATTCTGTCTCCATACTTCTTCAGCTTATATGCGGAGCAAATTACCTGAGAAGCTAGACTCTATGAAGAGCAATGTGGCATCAGGATCTGAGGGAGACTCATCAATAACCTGTGCTATGCAGATGACACCGCCTTGCTTGCTGGAAGTGAGCTCTTGAAGTACTTGTTGCAGAAGATCAAGGAATGGAACTTTCAGTATGGATTGCATCTCAATATTAAAAGATTCTTACCACTACACCAATAGGTAGTCATGATAGATGGAAAGGAGATTGAAACTGTCAGCAGCTTCATCTTGCTTGGATCCACAATTAATCCCCTTAGTATCAACAGTAAGAAAATAAGGAGACCCATTGCTCTGGGGAAAATCTGCCATTAGGGACCTTTCCAAATTATTGAAGAGTAATGATGCTAGTTTGAGGACTGAGGTACATCTGATTCAGGCTATAGTCTTTCTGATTACTAGCTGTGCATCCAAGACTTGGACAATGAATAGGGATGACAGAAAAAGAATTGACAGAAAAAGCTTTTGAGCTGTGGTGTTGGAGAAGAGCACTGACCATCCCATGGATGGCCAAGAGAACAAACAGATAGGTCTTTGAGAGGGTGTAGCCAGAGTGCTCTTTGGAGGCAAGAATGATGAGGATTCGCCTGACACACTTTAGACATATTGCTAGGAGATACTATTCCCTGGAGAAGAACATGATGTTGGGGAGGGTGGAGAGTCAACGAAGGAGAGGAAGACCCTCAACCAGGTGGGTTGACACGGTGACCGCTGCAGTGCTCTCTGTGTCAGGAAGTGTGAGGATGGTGCAGGACAGGACTAGGTTCAGGTCTTTTGTTCATAGGGTTGTTAGGAGTCATACTCGACTTGATGGCACCTAACGACAACAACAACATGGGCAATATATTGAATGACCCAGGAAGCATCAAACAAAGATGGAAGGAATACACAGAATCACTGTACCAAAAAGAACTGACACTGAAAAATTTCAGGAAGTACCATATGAGCAGAAGCCAATGGAAATAGAGGAAGAAGGGGAAGCTGCATTGAAGACACTGACAGAACAAATAAGGTCCCAGAACCAATGGTTTACCACTTGACTTGTTTCAACTAACAGATGAAGCCCTGGATGCGCTCAGCAGTTTGTATCATGAAATTTGGAGAATAGCTCTCTGGCCGGTGGATTGAAAGTGGTCTATATTTGTTCTCATTCTCAAGAAAGGTGATCCAACAAAAGGTAGAAAATGTTGATGATCTTGAACAATGTCATTAATATCACATGCAAGCAAAATACTGCTAAAGATCATTCAAAAATGGTTTGAACAGTACATAGATAAGGGAACTGCCAGAAGTTTAATAAGGATTTAGAAGAGGCCATGACACCAAGAGTATCATTGCTAATGTCAGATAGATCCTGGCTGAAAGTAAAGAACACTAGAAGAATGCCTACTTGTGCCCTATTGGCTATGCAAAGGCATTTGACTGTATGGATCATAACAAGTTATAGCTGACATTGAAAAGAATGAGGATCTCAGAGCACTTAATTTTGCTCCTGTGAAACCTATACTTGGACCAGAAGACTGTGGTACAGAGTAAGGGAACAGTGTTGTTATGTGCCCTCCAGTAACCTGTGACTCATAGAGACCCTAAACCCTGCTGCATCCTGTGTCAATCTCACTGTTCCCGACACACCCACCCCCATTACCCCAGTCACTCAAGACCCTCATAGAGGGTCTTCCTATCCTTTGCTGTCCCTCCACCCTCCCAAGAATGATGTCGTTCTCCAAGGACTGTTCCTTCCTTGTAACATGTCCAAAGTATGTCAAGGGAACAGTACATAGTTTAAAATTAGGTGCATCAGGGTTATATTCTCTCTCCATATCCATTCAATCTGTATGCTGAGCAAATTATTCAATAAGCTGGACTCTTATTAGGGAAGTGTGATGTCAGGATTGGAGGGAGACTCATCAGTAACCTGTGTTATGCAGATGACACAACCTTACTTGCGGAAAGTGAAGAGGACTTGAAGCACTTGTTACAGAAGATCAAAGAATACAGTCTTCAATATGGATTGCATCTTAACGTCAAGAAAACAAAGATCCTTACCACTGGACTGATAGACAACATCATGACAGATGGAGAAAAGATTGTAACTCTCAATAACTCCATCCTACTTGGATCCACGATTAATACCCTTGGTACCAGCAGTCAGTAAATAAAGAGATGTATTGCACTATGAAAATTTGCAGTTAGGGACCTCTCTAAACTATTGAGAAGTAGAGATGTCAGTTTGAAGACTAAGGTGCTTCTTTTCAGGCCATAGTCTTTCCAGTCACTTGCTGTGCATCTAAGAGCTGGACAGGGACTAAGGATGACAGAAGAAGAATTGATGCCTTTGAACGATGGTATTGGAAAAGAGTGCTAAATATTCCATGTTGTTGTTGTTGCTGATTGCCTTTGAGTTGAGCACAACTCATAATGACCCTAGGAACAAAAGGCCTGAAGCCTCTCTATAACTCTTGACATTTATCAAAGTTCATAGAGTGTCCGGAGGCATGTTGTTTA